TATTTACCCTGAAAATATTTGCCAGACACGATCGACAAAAATCACCGATGTTATGAAAATATTTGGTTATAAACTTTATAACAAATATGTCATATAAAATTGGTGCGGTGTGTGCTGTTGCTGGATGCAATAACTACAAACAACAAGAAGACAGCAAATCATTCTTTAGAATGCCAAAAGATAAAAATATGTAAGTAATAAACGTAAAAACTGTGCAGGTTATGTTTTGTTTTGGTAGTGTTTCCAAATATTTAATGTAACTTTCAGTTTGAAGAAATGGATTGCAGCCTGCAATAGAAAAGATTTAGAGTTAATATCAAAAGACTCTGATTATTTTTATAACAGATACGTGGTCTGTTCTGACCACTTTGAAATACAATGTTTTAAAAACAAAAATTTGTTTAGCCAAGGGTATGTATGTATGGTATTTATGCTTATATCTATCTATTTATATTGAATATAATTGTTAATGTAAATATAATGAGTTAATATACATTGCAGCTTTAATAAATTAAAAAGTAGTTTAGTAACTTAATTTTAGGAACATTCAAGCTAATGACACAAGTATTCTATCTTTGACATCTACAGCGCAACAGAAAGACTACAGAGTTTTGTGTACTCTTGTGTATCATTAACTGAAAAGCTCTCTTTAATTTTTAATTTTTGTTTTTTTTAGCTTGTTTCGTGGCTCTGTGCCAACAATTAATTTGCAAAATAAGCCAAATATGTTAAAAAGAACAATTACAGATGAAACAGTTGTTCAAGACAGGTATATTATGTTTTTTGTTATACTTTAAAAGAGAGTTTTTAATTTATTTTACACAAATTTTCACAATGGTTTTTCATTTTTAGCCCTAAGAAGAAGATAACTATGGAAGCTACAGATAACGAGAATACAATTTGTAAAACATCAAGTAGTGAAACATCAAGTGACTTACAATCACTTAATAATTTGTCGCTTATTACAAATGAAATAGTTGTTCAAGACAGGTATATTATATTTTTTGTTATATTTTAAAAGAGAGTTTTAAA